GTTTTGGTGAAGTCTAAGCAAAGGCAAAAAATGGTTCAGCCCAATTATGATAATGACAGAGGTGCAGAGGCAGTCCAAGTGGAGTCAGTGTGACAGTGAAATCTGCTTTATTCACAACTCCTCAGTCCATTTTGAACAAGAGGATTAAATTGTATTTAATTTCAAAGAGGCAACTAATGGAAATACCCAGGAATATACAGTGAGGCAAAGACACATGTAGGACTACAGATAAAGGATATGAACACTAACTAACATTTGCACACTAGTAAGCTTGTTACCTACTTCTTACACCTTGTAATCAAACGAGTAGATAGTGCAATAAATACGTGTAAACAGGTAACAGACTCTGTCTAGAAATAGTGTACATTTCTAACTGAGGATAATTAACCATTGGAACAATTTACAAAGGGTCGTGGTGGATTCTCCATCACGGGCAATTTTTAATATCAAGATTGGATGTTTTTCTAGAAGATCTGCTCTGGTTCGAACAGGGATTAATGCAGGGCAGTCCTACGGCTTGTGTTTTACAGGTCAGCTGAGATTCTCACAGAGATCCCTTCTGGTCTTGGAATCTACAAGTCTATGACAGCCCGAGACCCACTACTGTCAACTCCAGATGTACAAAAATCATGAAAGAAATGAAATGTGTTTTAAAAATGTTGGGTTCTTTCTCGTTGCCTTCTGGTTTGTGAGTCTTTCGGGAGAACTTGAGTCACAATTTTAAGCTTTACGCCATGAAACAGGGGGCTAGAAACTTGCTTAAAAAAATAACACAGCAGAAAGCTGAGGATCTCAGATCAGCTCATTCAAAGAACTGGGGTTTGCCGAAAAGCAACAAATACAGTGCCAAAAAATTGCAGGAGTTGCCAACCCTGGAGACTCAGCTGAGTTGGTGTATAGGCAGAGCTTGGAGATGCTTCGTTCTACACAAGTGGGCCCAGAGGATGTGATTTTCAAAAGCGTCTGTGTGGCTTTGGAGTGGAGCTAGGTGGGAAACTCCTTTCCCATCCATGAGAATTTGGGAGATTTCAAAATTTTATCCCATCCCAAATCAAGATGAAGAGTCAAACTCTAGAAAATTGTCAAGAGTCAATAAACCAAACCAAAAATTAATTCTGCATCCAATGAAACCGTTGGCTTCAATAATTTCAAAATGTTTTGATTGTGACTTTTTTCACGTTTAACATTCCTGAAAACGTTGTTCTGGCTCAAAAGCCCCAAAACGTTCTGGTTTGAATGTGTCAAAACATTTTGTTTAAAAAATTTGAAAATATTTTTCCTCCAATAAATTTGGAGTCAAGAGATTCGGTGAAACCAACCCTGTTTTCCTAACCATCTAATTTTTGACAACTTGGCATTTTTCAGTGAAAAACAGCTTGTCGAAAAATACCCCACTACCTCTATTTTCCAGCACAACTCAAGTAATTGTGGTGCTTTTAAAAATTTCACCATTAAGACGTTTAATGCAGTTGTGTCGTGTGGCTCTAGACAGCCAGGTTCTTTGGAGTTCAGATTTTAAGTCAGGACTAAGGCTCATAGACTGCAAGGCCAGAAGGGACCTTGTGATCAGCTTGTCTGACCTCCTGGATAACATAGGCCAGAGAACGTCCCCCATCACAATCCCTAGAGCAGATCTTTTAAAAAAACATCCAATCTTGATTTAAAAATTGTCAATGATGGAGAATCCACCACGAGCCTTGGTACATTGCTCCATGTGCAAACTGTTGTGTGTCTGGTTTATGTTCTTTTCTAGGTCATGAGTAACAGGTCGTTCCCTGGGCCAGTCTGAGGATTCCCCGCTGCCTTGTCAATTCTCTAGGGGCATCTTAAAATGTAGGGGTCTCTTGTGACCCTTAGCAAGGCACAGTCACTGCTTCATTCTGAATGGTCTAGTGGAACGGGCATTAGACGGGGAATAGGAAGACTTGGGTGCAATTCGCAGTTTTAGATTTCCTCTTTGATC